GCCAAACCCCTCGGCACCCAGGAACCATCTTCCAGCCCCGCTTCTCCTGCCCACTGCTGCTCTGAGGGGCTGCAGCGCGGCGCTGAGCAGCCGTGATGTGCTTTTCCCAGGCGGCATCGCCAGTGGAAACGCCGCGGAAAGCGCCTGCGAACATTACTGCGGAAAACGCGCCACTTTATGCCTTTGCTATCAGGCAGAGATGAACGAGGGAGCTGATATTCACAGGCAATCTGTTCACCTGGAAAGGGCTGCTCCGCGCAGCAGAGTCAAGCCCCTCCATCTGGGCTGGAAATCGGCCGACGGGTTGTGCCAGCGCCCGGCGCGCACACGCTGCTCCGTGGCTCTGAGACAGGAGCCCAGCTCCCGATAACCCCACCAGAGCTTTGGAGAGCAAAGCTGAGCTCCCTGTGCCTTGGAACCTCGGTGTCAGCCTTTGGAGGAAAATCTGATCTGACAGCAGAGGAGGGAAATGCCCCATTTGATCTGCTAATTGATGCCGACTGCCGAGTCAAGGAGCTGTGTTCTGGTTACCTCTCCATTTTGCTTCCCAGCCAACGATCTCTGATTAACGCTTGTTTCTTGGCTCGGGCCGAAACGAGGCTTTCAGGATCAAACGCTTTTCATCTCGGAGCCGTGCGGCACTCAGCGATGACTGGCACCGGCACGCCGGAGCGAAACCGCGTGGGAACAGAATTGCTCTGGAGAGCACGGCAGTGAAATCCCAAACCCCTCACGTTTAGGAGTAGAGGCTTCTCCAGTTGCTCACCCTCTGCACTGATATAGGGCTGACTTTGTGCCTTCCTGGAAGACTGACCACGTACCAACACAAACACCATGGCCACGAGGTCCCTGCAGTTCACTGAGATGCGTTTTACTGTCTTCCAGGGGAAAACGTAAATATTTTGTTTCCCACCTACCGACAGTTCTTAAATACTTTGCATATTTTTAATTAAACTTTCTGGAGTAGTACTTCGGTGGCAGGAAAGAATGTCAGGAGTTTTTGTGCACTTCCCTGAAACAACAGTTGTGCAAAGGGAAGCACTACTTCGCTAAAAAAAAAAAAAGAGCAAACACGAATTTATAAAGAACCCAGCAGCTCTCCATGCATGGCTAAACGTCCTCCCATGCAGCCTCACATTTCCAGAAGTGAGAAAAGCCATCACAGCTACACCCAGCAGACGCTTCAGTCACGGTCTCTTCTCGTCTATTTGCAGCACTCGCGCTCTGACTGATGCAGCCGCAAAGCCGGCAGCGAGACCCATCCCTGCCCCAGCGTCCGCTCCCTCCGTCCCCGCGGGGACACCATCCCCGGCATTGCCCAGCACCTTCCTGCCCCTCCAGGGACACCACGGACCGTCCCCTTCTGTCCCAAGCAAACCAGCAAGACGAATAAGTGACAGTGAGAAAGTTTGTGGGAATTCCCCCTTCCCTCCCCGGTTTCTGAATG